AACTCCTTTACTAACCCAGTGAATATATCGCCATCGGAGTCCTTAAAGAAGAATACTCGCGTTTCAGTGATGCTCATCACAGTTGTTTAACAAATAGCGGAGGACAGAAGGTCCGCGAACGGCTCCTAGAGCATACAAAGTGCAAAGGAGATATTTGAACGCACCACTTTCTTTCCAACAACATGCGGTGCGAATTTCTCCAAGAGGTCTTCTGGAATTCCAGCCGATGCCCAGAAAGTAGTGAAATCGCGTCCGCCATTACTATGCCAAACGGTTGCAAGATCCGAGATATCTTGATCTTCTAAAGATCACAATCAAAACACACACAATCGCGATGCACTGAGTAAACATACCGTCATCAAATATTCCACAATGAGCAACTAGCAAAGTAATTATATTAGGTGCATGGCTCAATCGGAGAAGCCGCGGCCCAGGATGTGATAGAAGGGTGCAGACATTCATGGCAAAATCAACCTACAATACTCAGGCAATTTAGTCTGAGAAAGAAGTTTTATGAAAAGGAGAAAGTGCTAAGGGCATTCAAACACACCTCATTAGGCAATCCACTTAGAAGCGACTTCGTTAACTTTGCATAGTCCGGCTCTGTTGACGGGTTTCCGCGCTCATCACGTCGAATGTACTCTAACAATTAAGAAATAAACATGATGAAAGATGTTGAACCAAATTAGACTCCCAACGGTCATTAAATCAGATCATGAAAACAAACCATGATTTCTTCCCATGCCAACGGGACAATCGTTAGTAGCGAAAAATGAACTCTGTCTGCCACGGGATCGCGACATTTCTCCATCCAGCATGTCGTCTAGGTCACCGATGGTTTCAATTTGCTCGTACTTAGAGAGGTACCTGTACGGAATTGACGATAAAATAACTAAAAGTTACTAATGCATAATTGTAAGAAGGTTCTTGGAATGCACAAATAAGTAAATAAATGAATAAATGTAATATCGATAATGGAACACCTCATGTACAGCAATTTTATGGCATGATCTCCACCAACAACGTCCTCGCCAATGCCAAGCATTTCTGCGACATCAGACCACTTTTCATGGAGAGCCACCTGCAGTATCATATTTAATTATAAAAGATATACTGATCATAAAGCTCAACCGCACCTTCTGCCATCCTCCCAAAGCCATAACCGTGTCGTACAGCCGGAAAAGATTCACTTCCACTCCCTGCACAGTTGGCAGTTTCAGTGGCGCATTCCTGTAACCAAACGATGGCATTACCAAACGTGCTTAGCACACTGCTGCTAGAGCACGAAACAAACTGAAATCTTTTGTTGTTTACCATTTTCTTTTATAAAACTGCCGCAGGCTGTGATAAAAATCCGTAATTTTCTTCAGTTTTTCGGGCGGATCACTGAGACTGTTCAGATAATTGGCTAAAGCGGACTTCCGCTTCCGTCGTTCCATCTTTTACCCGGAGTCACGTTTACTTGAATAATCAATATCGCCTTGTTTTGAAGTGCTATGTTGTAACGTGAATTCTGAAAAGAGTTACGGTTTGCAAATCGAGAACAAAAAGTGTGGTAAGTGACCAACAACGCAATCGTCGGAATGCTAAATGAGCGCTGTTTATCTGAGGGTTCGGAGGGAAGGGTTGGACATCTTGGCGCAGTATTTAGTGCAGGTAACGAAAGTCTCAACCTTCGCACAAAGAATCCCCTGAAGCTTACGAGCTTCATATCTACGCTATTTTTCTGTTTTTTCAAAGGTATCTAGTGCTAGATGGGTGTGAAGAAGCAAGTGAGACAGGGATTGTCAAGAGAAAGCAGCTCTGGAATGAATAAACAGATTTTATTGTGAAAGGCGATGTCGCACTGATTAACGCCCCACAAAGGAGCTTCATC